GGCCTTAACCACTTGATGATGCACAAAATCTCGAACTGCTAATCTTCCATTAGCAGCATAGTTCAGTTTGAGGCCCAGCTCAAGTTGGGAATCTAGGTTCGCTCAAGTTCGTCCGGAAATTGTCCATCTTCGCCGCCCGATTCGAGATGATAACACTAAGCAGTGTTTCAACGTTCGTCTGAACACATCTTCGGAATCTTTCTGCGAAGAGCATCTTACTATGAATTTGGAGTCTTGTAGGACAATACGCGGAGATGCTTCTTCAGGGTCTAGTTCGCGAGGCAGCCAACTCCCGAGCTCAATCCCGTGCAGAACCTGGCTCGACCTGCCATGTTAACACCTAGATGAACACGGCTTACTACTATCAGGTTGGTAGTTCCTGTTTTGGTGTCTCTCGCGTTTTCGACGAATGAGATGCGTCACTTTCGTGCTGATGCGACCGAGCCATCTTGGTGCTCAGTGGCCGACGCGCACAACGTCAACGAGACAGATACAAAAACCACCAAAGCAAGTTCCAGAGAGTTTCAAAACAGTTACCGACGTAAAGACGACTATAGAAATTCCCTATGCCAGCTGCGAAGCGTAGAAAGACCGGCGGTGCGGAGATGAAGGCGAAGAACAAGACCACCGAGCGAAAGCCGCTCCCAGTGACCGTTCTTTCTGGATTTTTGGTAGGCAACAGCTGAGGAATGTGAAGGTTGAGACTGACAATAGTAGGGCAGTGGAAAGACAACCTTGCTTCGGCACATCCTACAGTCGCCGGATCATGGGTTGCGCATCGCCGTCATTGTCAACGATATGGCATCAGTCAACGTCGACGCAAACCTCGTTAGTCGTGGCAACAACAAGAACAGTAACGGAGAGATACGTCTAAAAGAGAAGGTTGTGCAAATGGAGAATGGTGAGATAATGACTGTACGAACTTCATGCCAGACATACGCTAACTTCTCGTTCAGGCTGCATTTGCTGCACATTGCGAAGCGACTTACTTGTTGAACTAGCACGCCTGGCTTGGTCCGAGAACGCATTTGACCATGTAATCATCGAGAGCTCCGGTATCAGTGAGCCGCAACAAGTGGCCGAGACCTTCACGACCGAGCTTACCGAGGCAATGATCGACGCCGAGGGACTGGAACCCGAGGAGAAGGAGGTCTTTGCTAAAGTGTAAGTCGAAATCAAGGTGGTGGTACAATATAGTAGCTGACAAATGTTCACAGCGCGAAGATCGGTGGGCTGAAGAGCATTGCGACCGTCGATACGATGGTCACTGTGGTGGATGCGTTCCGGTTCTTTTCCGAGTTCGACACGGCCGAGTTCCTGCAAGACCGCTTCGGGCGCGACGAAGTTCCGGATGAGGACCAGCGAACCATATCCGATCTCTTCGCGGACCAAATCGAGTTTGCCAATGTTATCATCATCAACAAGATCGATAGAGCAGACAAGGCAACCCTGGGGCGCGTCCGAGCATACATCAAGTCACTAAACCCGAAGGCGAAGATCATTGAAGCCAGGTACTCCAAGGTGGACGTTCGCGAGATGCTCAATACGGGCGTGTTCAACTTCGGCGAGGCTGTCGCAAGCGTTGGATGGCTCCAGTCGTTGCATGAAATGACCGTCATGGACGTCTCGGGAAGAAAGCGTGTCGCACCCAAGCCGGAGACGCTCGAGTAAGTCACTCGGTACCGGATGCTTCGCTCATGCTGACCTGGATTTAGATATGGCATCGGCTCTTTCGTATATCGCGCTCGCAGACCATTCGACCCAATGAAGCTGTACCGGCTTATCCAGGGCAAGTTCATCTTGCTGCAAGACGAGGCAGAAGACGTCGCCGATGCCGAAGAGGACGAGGAAGAAGAAGAGGAGGACGGTCATGATAGCAACGACAACGTCATCGATGGTTCATCCGAATCTGGAAAAGCCAGCGCGTCCGAAGATGATTCCGACAAGGTCAGCGAGGACGACGAAGAAATTCCCCAGATGGATGACAAGGAGATTCTGGCGAACAAGAAGGCTTGCCCTTACTTCGGCGGCCTACACCGAAGCAAGGGTCTCTTCTGGCTCGCCACGCGTCCTAATCAGATGGGCTCGTGGAGTACTGCAGGCGCAATGCTGACACTGGGCTCTGAGATGCCGTGGTTCTGCTGCGTGTCTGAAGAAGACTGGGGCGCCGACGAAGACACGCTGAAGGCTATCAGGAACGACTTCGAGGGTGGTGAGTGTCCCATTCACGAAGTACTTGTGAGAAATCCACTGACTTCGCATGCCAATATCCAGAGTGGGGCGACCGTAGACAAGAAATGGTAAGGAATATGGCTGCACGAACTGCATGTGAGACAGATACTGACTTTGTACACCAATCTTTAGGTATTCATCGGAGAGAAGCTTGACGTCGACGGGTTGACGAAGATGCTTGACGCTTGCCTTTTGACGAAAAAGGAGATGAAGAAGTGGGAGAAGGTCATGCATGACCATTCGTTGGACGATGACGAGAAGGAAGAGACTCTGCAGGAAATGTGGGACGACGGCTACTGGGCCGAGTGGCCGCGGGCGCAGGATGAAGAGGAAAACGACCATGGTCACGATCACTCTCATGACCACGGCCATAATCATCACGGTCACAGGCATTGATCGATGATATGGACGATGGTGGTGTCCAGTTGCGGAAAGAGAGAGAAGCGCTAGTCATGACGTCATCGCGCGACAGCCATCCGACCGATCGGAGGACCACATCAAGGGTCTCCTCTTAGCTTCTTTCCTACATGTAATTGCTGCTCGAGGTTTTGTTCTATCATGAGACAATGTTATTTGCACCCTGTTAAGTTTTGAGATGACTGGTCACGGTGACCACGCTGTCAATCTGTGTGCCGATACCACCTGGGCATAGGCTAGACCGGTTGCTGGTCCCGGCAACGCCTACCTCACGCTGCTATCCGCTGATGAGTCGGTCTGCCCCAACGAATGTACGCGTTTCGGAAAATCTATATTGATCTCGTCGCTGTTCTTCAATCCCCCAATCGTTATGTCCCTAGAGTGCTTTCCGGAAGCGGTCGCGGAGCCTCTCTCCGCTTCGTAAACGGCAGCCCTTCCTTTCAATCCTTCTTGGACAAGAAGCATATCTTATAAGGATGTCTTTTGTCGCCTGGTAATTTTCTTCAACACACCCTTCATCTCTGTATTTAGCATGTCGCTGCGTTCATTGCTAATCGGATTGACACTGGCCGGCCCAGGCTTTTCGTTGGTGTCGCAAGATGGACAGACAGGCCGCCTGCCAGCTATGGGCTGGAGCACATGGAACGAGTACGAATGCGCCATCAACGAGACCGTCATACTGGAAGTCGCCGAACTTCTCATCTCTCTTGGTTTGAAAGACCTCGGCTACAATTATGTGAACATAGATGATTGTTGGTCCGACAAGTCTTACCAACGCGACAACGTTACAGGAAGGATCCGTCCGGACTATGCTAAGTTTCCGGATGGTATCAAACATACAGCGGACGAGGTTCATAAGCTCGGGCTCAAAGTCGGCATCTACGGTGATGCTGGCGACACAACATGCGGTGGATATGCTGGCTCACTGGGACACGAGGAAGTAGATGCCAGGACCTTTGCCGATTGGGGCATCGACTGTAAGCTACATATACTGTACACGCCAATCCATTGCTTATCCTTACTAGACTTGAAGTACGACAACTGCGCCGTTGCTGATGAATGGGACGACGAGTACCGATGGTGGCCAGAGAATTGGCTAGGAGGTCCTCCCGCTGAAGATCAGAGCGCTGGCGGAGATGGTGAAGCTCGGCCGATCCCAGCGCCCGCGGGCTACGATTGGACGACCTCGAATAGCTTCACGCGTTACAAGACCATGAGTGATGCCCTCCTCGCAACAAATCGTACGATTGAATACTCGCAATGTGCCTGGGGCCATGCCCACATCGAGCAGTGGGGTAACGCGACTGGCCATAGCTGGCGCACGTGGGGAGACATCTACCCAGAGTGGTACGACAAACATCAGTATTCTTGGGGCATCATGCCAATCCTCAACCATGCCTCCTTCTTTAACAACGATACCGACTTCTGGGGTCATGGCGACTGGGACATGCTTGAAGTTGGCAATGGAAACCTCACCCTACAAGAGAGTCGATCTCACTTCGCCCTCTGGGCTGCTCTGAAGTCGCCTCTAATCATCGGCACCCCTCTTCACAGGATCGAGCCGGCAATCTTGGAGATCCTGAGCAACAAGGAGCTCATCGACTTCAATCAAGATCCAGTCTTTGGTGCTGCAGCCAAACCATACAAATGGGGTATCAACGCTGACTGGACTTGGAACCAATCGCATCCCGCTGAGTATTGGAGTGGGCGGTCTTCCAAAGGTGTGCATGTGTTTGCATTGAACACACTGAATGCGACCCAGACCAAGGCCATCGACTTCGCGGAGGTGCCTGAGTTGGATGCGGAGGCTGAATACACCGTGTTCGACTCATGGACTGGGGAAAAGCAGGGGAACTTCAAAGGACGGTACGAAGCAGTTGTTGAGTCGCATGACACCGCGGTTATCCGACTCGTTGAGACGAGCGATGTTGAGTATGGCGCGTCGCACAATCAGCTGTGAGGACAACGCGACGGTTTACGCGAACCCAACGCGGCATGGTATTGTAGTGTCGTCACTAGGGGTGGCTACAACTTGTGTCGCATGCTATAAAGCTGTTAAGCTAGACATATACATTGCCTCAAAGACTGTCTCGTCGTTAGGATTTAATAGCATGTATGCGACACGCTTCATAGCCACCCTTATGTTGTGTCTTTGTAATGACGTGTTCGGGTGTTCATTCCGGGCAGGAACGCGTTGTTGCCGAGCCACCACCCGCACGTTCGCGGTATGTCCTTGCCATCATGCACCTCGCGACGTGCACAGCTTCTGACGCGCACAAACCTAACCTGAGCTATCGAGTCTTGAAATTGACGCTCTTCGAATAACTGCTCCTCGTCGCACTGCACGCACAATGGGGCCCTACCTCTACAGGCCACTAGAGCACCCCAGTGATATAAGGCTTCTTCGTCTTCACGCAGCTCCAGCTGCTGCAGCTGCGCAATTCGAAGCCCCAATTCAGATCGACATAGAGCACCACGTATGGCTGTCACCAGCTGCCAAATTAAGGTTCGACCTTGACGCTGCTTATCACGAGGCCCGAGGCGAATTAGCAACTGCACGCGACGAGTTAGAAGCCTGCAAATCGTTTCAGCAATTTGCAAATCGCGATCTCGGGCAGTCGCGTACGGATACACATCATGCGCAACGCCAGACCCACGCCTATGAGGTTGCGAAGGCGAAATTCGATGAGCAATCTGCAAGTTACCGGGCGCGACGCAGAGAAGATGCGTCAGAAGCCACTAGACCACCCCTTTCGAAACCGAAGTACGTGGCGGTATCATACGCTTGGGGTACTGACATGTCGACCGAGACAATATCCATCATTGGAGAGGATGGAGACGTCCAGTCACTTCGAGTGCGCCAAAATGTGGCTGAAATGCTGCGGTATCTGCGAATATCATCAAGCGATCGACTATTGTGGATTGATTCACTGTCGATCAATCAAGCCGATTTGGAAGAGAAAGAGAGCCAAGTCAAACAGATGGGAGCCATATATGCGGATGCTAGCCGTGTTGTGATCTGGCTGGGGCCACTGCAAAACAGCGGGCACTTGACGCACTCCTACACCGAGAATCGCCGTATTAAGTTCAGTTTCCACAAGGCCGGACTTGAGCCTTCTCTGGGTCTCCTCAAACTCCCCTGGTTCCATCGTCGATGGATTATCCAAGAAGCTGGACTCGCATCAGAAGCGATATTGAGGCATGGCATAAAAAAGATCGAATTCCAAGAATTCGTGCGTCGCATTGAACGCCTACAGCGGTCAGCCGAGGCTGCTTCAACTGCATTCACCCCCGAGGACAGAGTAGTGGTCGACCGCCTCCGTGCCATGGCAAATCTACAAACATCAAGTCGAGGACAATTTCTTCCCAGGGGGCTGATGAATCTCCTGCTCAGCTTTCCTGCCGCAAAGTGCTCAGATGATCGCGATATACTTTACGCCCTGGCCAGTCTCAGTGTAACTTCGCTACCCATCAGCTACCATATGACTGCCGAGGAACTCTACATGGATTTCGCCCGCTTGGAAGCTATACAGCATCCGTCGATTCTGTTGAGTGTTGCCGGCGCTCATCCCACATCGTCGAGGTTCCTACCCTCCTGGACGCCTGACTGGCGTGCGCAGTCTATCTACCAACCAAACACTAATCGCAGTTTCGACAGTGCCTACAAATCCAAGATCCAATGGAACCAATTAATCATGCGCGACGAAAACACCTTGAACGTCATGGCAAAGCAAATGGACGAGGTTGCAAGAGTAAGCACGCCTCACACGTTGGGGGCTTGGGTGCGACTCTGCAGTACTCACAATAGTGAATCTTCGATTGCCGAGAACATTCCAGAGCTCGATCTACTGAAGGCGCTCACACGTTCACGAGGCGATCTTCAGAGACTGTCATCTGACCAGCATGCTACACTTGTTCGGTATCTGGGTTCAAGTTCAAGTAGTGACGAGCGACCGCCGAAATTTGTGGAAAGATTCATTACTGAGTCTAACAAAACCATGATTGGCAGAACATGCTTCATAACTGCAGGCGGCGCTATTGGTATGGGGCCAGAGGGGATAAAAGCCGGTGATGTTCTGCTTCGGATTCCTGACAGTCCTAGCTTCACTGCCCTGCGTCCACAATATGAGAGCGCTTCAATACCGCTTCAGCACGAAGTAGAGCTCAATCCTGGCTTTGATCATGCGCCGCCTTTTATCGATCTTCCTTCTCGCTTCTGTCATGAGTATACCGTAGTGGGCGACTGTCACGTTCCTCGGCTCGTTCGCACTTGTCCTGACCGATCTGCACTTGGTCTAGAGGACCTCACTCCCTTCAAAATCGTTTGATCTTTCACGGGTTCAAATCAGCAAAATCCCGCTTGCAAGATTGCTACGCAAGCCTAGACTCAATACCTCAGCAATGCATACAGCTACGGCTAGCAATGCGTTCCAGCACATGGCCTAGCTACTAAGGATGGCTATGATTCATGTCGCAATTTACAACAATCATATCTAAGCTAGACGTATACATCGACTTAGGAGGTGCTTACTTATTAACTCGTAGTGACATGTGTGCTGCGAAATGCGACACAAAAGCTACCCACCACTGGTGTAGCTTTAGATCCGCGTTACGTCACTCGCGACCAAATCACTTCCTAAACAACCGAGAAGCTTGCCCCGTACTTGGACGTTGGACATAAACGCGGGGTAATGTACCGCTCGTATTGCTACATGCTTTGGTTGCAGCGAGACGACATCATGATGCATGTCTTATTTTCCGAGGCTAAATGCGACAGGGTGTTCTACGGATCTTCTCCGGGCCAGGAATTGTAGGCGAAGCTACTCGGCATGCGAGACCATGCAAGACATCAGGCAATGAGTACAAGATCTGCAAAGCGAAAAGTGTGAACTGAGCGTGGAATGCGGGGATCGCGCGCTATACCCAGAATGGGATTCGCAGTGGACAGGCATGTTATCGTCCATCAATGAGAAGCTACAACCACGCAGGGCTGAAGCGATGATCCCAGGTACATAGTCGTAGTGTTTTCCTGGTATCCTCAGCCTTCTCAGCCCACCATCAGGAGCTCAGGACTTACAGAAGCAGGAATTAGTCCAGATGCTAACTCTAGCGACCTTGACAGTCGCTTCAGGGCTCATTCCCCTGGTAGCAGCAAGCGATGCACGCCTTTGGTACACAGCGCCCGCCGCTTCTGATGCCTGGACAGACGCACTCCCAATCGGAAATGGGCGCCTCGGTGCCATGGTATTCGGAATACCCGTACAAGAGCGCATACAGCTCAACGAAGAGACCATCTGGTCTGGTGGCCCTCGAGATCGTGTGAACCAAAACGCGTCCCAGACGCTTTCGGATGTAAGAGACTTGCTCGCACGAGATCAGGCAGGCGATGCGGAAAAGCTGGCGAATCTGGGTATGATGGGCACGCCCCAAAGCGTTAGGAACTACCAACCGCTGGGAGAAATGGAAGTCTACTTTGATGGTACTAGCGACTACGACAATACGACTTACGAACGATGGCTTGATCTCGAAACGGCAACGGCAGGGGTCAAATTCAGTGTCAATGATACGCTATACGAGCGCGAGATGTTCGTGTCAACCCCAGACGACGTACTTGTACATCATCTACAAGTCACCGGACCTCAGAAACTCTCATTCCAGATCCGCGTACACAGACCACAGGACGGCTTGAACGAGGCATCTGATCAGGACTGGAACGCGAACGGAGTTGCATACATGACTGGAGGGACTGGCGGTGTTGATCCCATTATCTTCACATCCGCTTTGGCAGTCAATACCGATGGCAACATGAAGACGCTTGGCGAATTCATCGTCGTCGACAATGCCACAGAAGCAACGGCTTACTTTGCGGCTTCTACTTCGTACCGATCCAACGACACGCGCATGGCTGTGGACAGCACTATCCAGCGGGCTCGTCAATACACGTATGCCGAGCTTCGTCAGCGCCACATCGAAGATTATGCACCATTGTATAATGCCAGCGTCCTGGAGTTCACCGGATCAGACGCAAACGCTAGTAGCATTCCAACGGACGCGCGCATCAACGCAACCCGCGAAGGAGCTGTCGACCCAGGGCTAAGCGCTCTAGGATACAACTATGGCCGCTACCTGTTGATCGCATCGTCGCGCATTGGTAATTTACCGTCCAATCTCCAAGGTATCTGGAACAAAGAATTCATGCCGCAATGGGGCTCGAAGTATACCGTCAACATCAACCTCCAGATGAACTATTGGCCGGCGGAAGTCACTAGTCTGTCGAGCTTGCACACACCTTTGTTTGATCATCTGGATCTTATGCGAAAGGACGGCATGCGCACTTCCAAGAAGATGTACAACGCCTCCGGATGGATGTCCCACCATAACACCGATCTATGGGGTGATACTGCGCCTGTGGATCGCTATCTTCCGGCTACTTACTGGACATTGTCGTCTGGCTGGCTTGTTACCCATATACTCGAGCATTACTGGTATACAGGTGACAAGGACTTCTTAGCTTCCAGGCTGGATATCGTCGCCGGTGCTATTGAGTTTTACTTGGATACACTACAGCCATACAGCATCAATGGGACGGAATATCTCGTCACCAATCCTTCTGTGTCCCCAGAGAACAGTTACATCGCGGCAGATGGAAAGACGTACTATTTCGACATCGCGCCAACTTGCGATATCGAGATCCTCAACGAGCTCTTCACAAACTACCTCCGGGCGGTCAACACTTTTGATAACGGCACCGTCGGCTCGTCGTTCCTGCAACGAGTCCGAGACACTCAAGCGAAACTTCCGCCATATCGCTACTCAACGCGCTATCCGGGCACGCTGCAGGAGTGGATGCAGGACTACGAGCAAGCAGAACCAGGCCATCGCCACGTGAGCCACTTATACGCACTCTATCCAGGCACGCAGATCTTCCCACCAGGTGCGCCAGGCTACGACGCCAAGCTCTTCAACGCCGCGGCTGCTACACTCGCAGACCGTCTCTCTCATAACGGCGCTGGGACGGGATGGTCGCGCGCATGGACGATCAACTGGTACGCGCGCTTACAGAACAAGACAGCGCTGGCTGAGAATGTTTATCAGTTCTTCAACACCAGTGTGTACAATAATCTGATGGATGTTAATGAGGGTGTGTTCCAGATCGATGGCAATCTGGGCTTCGTGAGTGGTGTGGCAGAAGCGCTACTTCAGTCGCACATCGTGGATGAAGAGGGTGTACGGGAGGTATGGCTTCTACCCGTGTTACCTGAGCAATGGAGTTCGGGAAGTGTGTCTGGACTGGTGGCTAGAGGTGGCTTCGTATTCGATTTGGAATGGGTAGATGGCAGGATTAGCAAGATGAAGATGATGAGTCGGGTTGGTGGTAGTGTGGTGCTCAAGTATGATGCTGGGTCCGGAAACAGCACAGTAGCTGGAGATGTTGTTACGGCTAGCGCTGGGGCGATTCAGGCAGTACCTGGTGGTAAGATGAGGTTGGATACGAAGGCGGACCAGATGATGGACTTTGAGTTCACGTGGTGAGCTTCGTGCTCGTACCTGGTAGGATCGCCTAGCTGGGAGCGATAGCAAAGACGAATCATCTTCTCTATCTAGAATCGTATGCTTGAGAGATTGAACGATGCACACTGTCGATGGCAGATAAAGACGCGACAAAATCCTGATGGTTGACGAAAAGTGGGGGCAGCAGTGGATATGCGTCAAGAGCGTGATACAGGTAGTTCGTAAGACCATTCTTGCGTTCGTATTTCGATGATCATAATCGATTTCGTATCCTGTATGCTGTCGCAGGCAGCACGCGTTGAAGGATGAAGAAGGGTTGTAGGGTCCTCGAGGGGTGCGCTAGGCCAAAGACAGGTGTAAAATGGAAAGCGCGCGGGCCTAGCGCGAAATCGCGAGGAAAGCGCGTCTGGTCCTTGTCCCCCTAGCGACAGCGTGTGTTTGCCCCTCTACAACCACCATTACGACTGACGATACGCACGATACACATAATGGCGGACAGACAGACTCCCTTCTCAATCAGTCTCTTCGGCAGCCAAGCCGGCGATGGGCCCGGTGATGCAGCTGCGCCCTCGCGCGTGCACCAAGCGCTTGTCGACTTTATTATGGACTTTACCCTCGACAACATCTTCGTCTACAGGTATGACAGGCAGTCGCACGTGCCATATGCAGTCGTCTAACCGTTTGCAGAGATCAAATTCGCGAGAACGTTCTCTTGAAGCAATACTACTGCGACATTGACGTCGCGCATCTGATCAGCTACAGCCCAGAGCTTGCGCATGATCTCAGGCAGAACCCGGCAGAGATTATACCCCTCGTACGTTGTATACTCTGAAGTTGCATGCGCATGCTAATGCCTCCCAGTTCGAGTCGGCATTGAAGACGTGCACACAACGCATCGTCTACCCCTCACAAAAGAACATCCAGCTCCCAGAACACCAGCTGCTCCTCCATTCGAACGCTTCAGAACTCTCAATTCGCGACCTGACCGCGACCAACGTCTCACAACTCGTCCGTATACCCGGTATCATTATCGGCGCGTCTACACTTTCGTCCAAATCTACCGCACTCGCTATACGCTGCAGGAACTGCCAGCATGAAGAGATCCTCCCCGTATCGGGTGGCTTCTCCGGTGTCTCCCTCCCAAGGACATGTGGTAGAAAGAAGGGAGAGGGCGAGCAGGGAGAACAATGCCCGCTGGACCCTTACTATGTCATGCACGAGCGCTGCCAGTTCATTGACCAGCAGGTGCTCAAGCTGCAGGAAGCGCCTGATCAGGTTCCGGTCGGTGAACTACCACGACACATCATGATCTCCGCAGACCGCTATTTGGCGAATCGCGTTGTTCCGGGTACACGGTGTTCAGTGATGGGTGTCTTCTCTATCTACCAGCAGAAGGGCTCGAGGCGTGCAGGCAACGCCGCAGTAGCCATTCGCAACCCATACATACGCGCTGTCGGCATACACGCTGAGGTGGACCACGGCAGCAAAGGCAACGCTGTCTTTACCGAGGAGGAGGAACAAGAATTCTTGGAGATGAGCAGGAGGCCCGACATCTACGAAGTCTTCGCACGCTGCATCGCACCCTCTATCTACGGAAACCAGGACATCAAGAAGGCTATCGCTTGCTTACTGATGGGTGGCGCAAAGAAGATCCTGCCGGACGGGATGAAGCTGCGTGGAGACATCAACGTACTCCTCTTGGGTGACCCCGGTACCGCCAAATCGCAACTCTTGAAGTTCGTCGAGAAAGTGTCACCCATTGCCATCTATACCTCAGGAAAAGGATCTTCGGCAGCTGGTTTGACAGCATCTGTGCAGCGTGACCACAACACACGAGAGTTCTACCTCGAAGGTGGTGCTATGGTACTGGCCGATGGTGGCGTAGTATGCATTGACGAGTTCGACAAGATGCGCGACGAAGACCGAGTAGCCATTCACGAAGCCATGGAGCAACAAACCATCTCCATCGCCAAAGCAGGTATCACCACAATTCTCAACTCGCGAACATCTGTACTAGCAGCTGCCAACCCCATCTTCGGTCGCTACGACGACATGAAGACACCTGGCGAGAACATCGACTTTCAGACCACCATTTTGTCGCGTTTCGACATGATCTTCATTGTGCGCGATGAACACGATCGCGGCCGTGACGAGCGAATAGCAAAGCACGTCATGGGTATCGCAATGGGTGGTCGAGGTGTCGAAGAGACCGTACAAGCCGAGATTCCGATCGAGAAGATGAAGCGCTACATCACATACTGTCGGCAAAAGTGCGCGCCGCGTCTTTCGCCTGAGGCTGCGGAGAAGCTGTCCAGTCACTTCGTCAGCATCAGGCGGCAAGTGCACGCTTCGGAGATCAACGCAAACCAAAGATCCAGTATCCCGATTACTGTCCGTCAACTAGAAGCCATTATCCGTATCACCGAGTCGCTGGCCAAATTATCGCTGTCGCCTATCGCTGACGAGTCGCACGTCGATGAGGCGATTCGTCTCTTCCTCGCGTCTACGATGGACGCGGTGAACCAGGGCGAGGGCCAGAGCTCAAAGGAGCTCATGGACGAGGTCAACAAAGTCGAAGAGGAACTCCGAAGACGTATGCCTATCGGCTGGCAAGTCAATCTGTCGACGCTCAAGCGTGAGATGGTTGACGGTAAAGGCTACTCGGAGCAAGCACTTGCTCGCGCACTTCATGTTATGAACGCCCGCGAGACGATCAGATGGAGACACGGTGGTAGTGTAGTGTTTAGAGCAAGCGCATAAGCGATGCGCTGGATTCGGATTAGCATAACGGCGTCTAGCGTTGATGGTGTTTGAATATGCGCCGCGGGTGCTTTGGGCGTGGTTTTGGGCTGGCAGGCACGTCGATGCTGCTTCGTGATGAGAGACACTGAAACGTTCACGATGGAGAGCTGTATCGCGGCGTCTTCTCAGCAATGTAATATTGGATTTACACCCCGTCATAAATGTTCTTTTTTGCTTTCTGCTATGTCTGATGGTGTCAGTGTTGCAACATGCTCTTATGCCGATGTGCAGCGGCCATCCTCCACATCGAGAGGCCGCAGATGCCGCAACCGCCATCCGCACCTTTCCAACTCCTGCCGTCTCTCTCTTTCTCTTTCTCTTTCTCGGCCTGAACAGCCGGCGGAGAACAGCTCCGCGCCATTACGCAGCCCACCGTCGGTCACTGATCGAAACTCGTGCACATACTGCCCAGGCAGCCCAGCGCATCGCCCCACACAGACACACCGAGACCTCTTCGCCTCGTCACGGGACCCGTCCTCCACAGTGGCCAATGATGATGCTCTGGCTCATAAGATGGGGATACGATCGATTTTATACCCTGGTCCAGTCGCTCAAGAGCCAGGGGCCCGTAGGGCTGCAGCGGGCGCTAGCAGGATCTAAAAGTCCAAGGCGAATGCTACCAAGGTAATCAGTCCTCCACGAACTACGATCAAGTCTAGCCCATGCCCTCCATAGGAACGCGATGAGTTCAGATGCCCTGCTGGGATGCTACTGGAAAAGGAACTATTTCAGTGGGACGATTTGATCAGTACTGTGGACATGGCTAGTGTTGCGGCTCTAGAAGCTCGGACTAAATTGTATGGTGCCTGAGCAGTCGGCCCACGGGCCTGTATCAGTATTTGTCCCGTGAAGAGGAGAGTTTGCTTTGAGAATGGCTAGTCGAACATCCAGCTTGGAGACTGGGGGAAGTGGGTGCCTTGGGTGGTATCGCTTTGTGGCAGTGATGGTGTGGATTGGTTACTGCGACATGGTGAATATGATCTTGAAGATTTCCAAACTAAAAGATGACATTGTAACGTGTGAATCGATAAATACCTACATTCTGCCAGTTTCCCGTTTATGTACCTAGAGATAGGGACGCACAGTGTCAGGCGGGTACTTGCGGCAGTGACGGACAGGCCTCTGATGGGCAGGCACCGCACGCCCATTCCACATCAGCCATGGTATGACGTCGGAACTCTAACAGTATTGGAAACCAGCGGCGGAGAAATTTCTGCATCTGCGATTGACGTAGGGGTAAGACTCGTTCAGCTATGGCTGATTATATGGGGGCGCGCGTCGGCCCGCGCCGTACCAATGTGGATACACTTCGGGGGCGCGCCACTATAAACCCGCTCGCGAACAAGGACTCGGGCCTAAGTATCAGCCTGGACGTGCCTGCTAAGAATAGCCGCATCTTATAATTCATGCTAGCTCACATCTCTCCTTCGTGACACCGTGATCGTGACGGCATTTTCGATAACGTACCTAGGGATATGTGGATCTCAGACTGCTCAGCCCTGTTCACATCCGCCATCGTCTCAGGATCTACGGAGTCGCGAAGACGGTGAGAGCGCCGTCTTCCAAGTATTAGTTGGGTCGGCATCACCGACTTGGAAGACGAAGTTGCTGATTGGCGCCCTGGGTATATGGCCGATGCACCCTGAATCTCCTGTGACTCCATCTTTCTCTCCAAAGCCACGGGTCTGCAGGGTTATCCGATGGTTCTCGCTAGGGCGTAGAGCGCGAAGTGGATCTGTGAAAGCTGTAGCCAGTAACTCGTCTCCAGTTTCTCAGAGCATGACTTTGCCGATCGTGTTGCGTGCTCTCGGTGCGGCCCACCATGCCAGAATGCTTGCGGATTTACAAGGGGTTATCTTTTGCATTTGCTGCTGTGACGTACTCCCTGGATGTGTCTCCAATGAGTTTTTTCGTCATTTAATTGTGTTGCTACCTAAGATCATAGCCATGTGTTCATGTGATGTGAGTACGTTGTAATGATACCTTTTGGGAAACTCAGGCAAAAGTTGAGCACGTCTGGAGACTACATCAAGATGAATACATGCAAGGTAGCTGACCTGACGGCGATGTAGGCTCCAGGTGTTCAGTCTTCCCTAGGGTGACGTGAAGCCCGAAACAATTGCCAGTAACTCTAGATTGCAAAAGGGAGGCCTGGTAAATATGCTCAAATGCTTGGAGTGGGGGCTTGACCATGCCGTGGTTGACTGCACTGACTACCCTAGTTCAGTCATATTTGTGAGGCATTAATTCGGGAGGAAACCACGTGCGACCGTTAATTCATGATAGTAGCGACTAACTCTGGGTGACTGGTAAAAGGGAAGTAACGAATGCTAAGCGAGACAGATGCCTTATAAAGACTGACTGCCCATCTCTTTCGTTCTTGTTCGCTAACATTCTTAACATCTTCAAGCTTATTGCCCATCATGGAGGGCGAGTCTTTTACAGAAGACGAGTACCACACGTCGTTCCCGTTCCCCGGCAAGTTCAACTATGTCCACCCTAGCGCCGCCGGTAAGTTGATCCGTTCCGCTCCGGACTCGGCTTTGCTCGGGATAAGACGCCCGCTGATCTGATAACTCAGGATCTCCATCTGATAACCAGGACCCGTACGCACCCTACGCTCCGCCGCGCAACATGGCCTCGTCGAACAATGCCGCCACACCTGGCTCAGATTGCAGTCCTGCGCCATCGCCTGCCGAGTCTTCGGGAAGCACCTTCTGCACCGCTGCCGAGTTCGAACAAGACCGCCGCAGCTCCATCCGCCGTGAGTAACGTGATTGCTTTTTCCGCGTGTCCCGCGTACCAGCAGTTCGCCGCGGCTGTTGGCTGCCAGACTTGTCCAACCGCGTGATCGACCCTTGCCCACTTCAACAACTGACACCGACCCAGAACTCGTACCAAGGTCCCCTCCACGCCCTCACGTCGCCGCCACGTTGTCCGTAAACACGCACGCCAATGGCCCCTCGCAGTCGGGCGGGGGGCCTACGAGCATGATACATTCCATCCCGCCCCGACCCAAGCCCGGCCGCAAGCCTGCCACCGCGGAGCCTGAGACCAAGCGCAAGGCCCAGAACCGCATCTCGCAGCGCAACTTCCGTGAACGCAAGCAGAAGAATGTCCAGATGCTGCTCGAACAGGTCAACCAGACCAGTACAGAATTCAACGATGCCCGCAACCAATGGCTACGGGAAAAGCAGCTTCTGGAAGACCGAGCACGGGTTCAAGCACAAGAAATCCAGATACTGACAGAGCGTCTACGCACAAGTGACGCCCAAAAGATTATGTGGAGGAATATGTACCAGAAAGTGAGAGCAGGCGAAGACGTTTGCACGCCAGACTACGAGGAGGACTTTGCTCCCATGCATCCCATGCCGAACTTCGTTCAAATCCGTAGCGCACGCCACGACGCACCGTTCGAGAGTACGCAATCAGGATGCGATCGCTGCACGCCTGAACATTGCGCCTGTCTCGCCGACCTCACCAATGATATGCAACTCCCGGACGAGGCCTCGGCTCGTATGGACGGCATGTCCATGACTGGAGTACTTCGCGGCGGCCAAGGAGAACTCGACCAAGAGAAGCATCCCCACGTCGAGTTCGAAGTCGACTTCACCAACAAGTTCAAGAGCGCATCTACATTCGCACCATCGACAGAGGACAACAAGATTACAGACTGTGGCTTCTGCGAGGGACAAAAGGACATTTGCATATGCGATCCCCCTGCTCGTGTTGACAGCGCCGACGAGGGCATCTCACTCACGCGCATGAAGAGTGGTTCTTCAGCTGAAGAAGTGAAGCCCAACATGGCCATGACCGGACCTGGGTCTTGTGCCGACTGTCAGTCAAACCCCCAGCAGCGAGCCTGGTGTCAGCGAGTCGCTCAGCTCCGGAGCGAGGAAACCCCTTCGAGCTCACGGCGCAACTCAAGCAAGAGCAGCTCGCTCGATATTATGGAACCCAAGGCATCGACCAGCATAGACATGAGCGCCGGCATTTCGTCGCCTGTGGGTACTGGGCGAACAGTCGGTTGTAGCGATGCCTTCAAGCTACTTGATGGTCGAGTTTCGACGGATCCGAATGCCATGGACTGGCGCCAACTAAAGCCTGTTCCGCAGGCTTTCGGACGCCAGGACACTCGCAGGGACACATTCACTATGGAACCCGGCATGTACAGCGCGATGGAGCTGGACGCCAGCAGCATCCTCACTACTCTCCAACACGCCCAGCGTCCTCTCAGGACACGCCCGTCTGACGGCCCACATGCGCCGCTGATCGAAGAGGCCGAGGAACGGCGCCGAGCTTCTTTCTCGCCCATGACCAAGGCCGAGGATCACGCCATGATGGACGCAGTCTCTCACTACAATATCGACCACTGATAGCGCCCTCCTGTCTTTGCTTTGCCAGATACCCCACCTTTAGCGGTTCCGCCAGCAATCCGCGGCGTTGATATGCGAGAGTGTCCGTATCCTGTTTCGCATGGTCGTTCATCCGTAACGAGAACACAACTTGAGGGTTTTGACGGTCGCTATGAATAACGACGAGTGGACGGTTACACACTCTTCACTTTCTTGCATTTTGTATCATACCGCATGGCTACAGCAGCCCGGAATTAGACTAATGACTACAAGTTTCAACGAACCCAACTATGGTTCAAATGATATCCTTTCAATTCACACATTTGCTTGCATGTGATGACCCTCAGATCTCTGCTCTCCGTGAATGAGTCTTTCTGGATTATACCGAATCCACGTCCGCCCGTGCCCAGCTCCGCAGCTTGGCTCGTCAACCTCCGGGCATGGGCGCAATCACACCACCGCCGAACCCAAGCTTCCGTCCTCCGAAGACAGACCGCCATTTCTGGTGTAGCCAGTCGCGTCGAATATGTCTACGCGTACAACATTAAGTTTACATGAGCGACATAGGCTGGAGATGGTTCGGAGTTGATCTTGAGCTGTGAGTGGCTTTCCGGGCGTCCGGTGTCGCATCTTATCTGATGATCTGATAAAACTCTGCAGCGCTAACCTCCGAATGCAGCATGAGGGGTAAGGGACCCGGCATGCGGGGAGAAGTCTTACCCACAATCTGCGTTCGCTTCTATGCAACATCGCGATGGTTGTGAAGGAGCCAAAAAATCTTGGAATGAGAATAATGTTACACTGATCTGCAAGGAGTGTTATCACTGCTCTCCGCTTCTCCTTCCACACCACACAGCTCGGTACGCACCATCGCGCCTGACTGATGTTCAACCCCGCGCCTTCCATATGCACATGCCGTTGCTCCCTTCTCCCCTTTCTTCCACATTTCTTACTCAGCACTACCACTACTTCTTCACTCCATTAACAACGATCTCGTTTCCTTGGCCAACCCATTGGCCGTGCGGCCCAGCCCTCACAGCGACCTGCGCATGTTGTCAGTATCAATTGTAACTTGACCACGATGTCACCTTTGTAGTAAATGCATACCTGTACATCGACGCCCCATCGTTGCGCATTGGCCAAAGCTACATTCGCAGCTTCTTGCTCAAGGGCTGTGGCGGCTGTGGCTAATTTGCCGCCAATGGCGCACAGTTCTCCACCGAGCTTATTGAGCTCGGCAGCGAGCTTGAGGAGGTTGTCGGGGGTGTTGTGTGACATTCTTGGTGACTTGAGTGTGATGGTTTGATGTGATTGAGAATGAGGTAGGGTGCGGAGTGAGTGATGCTTAGGCGCTGGGTATATGTCAAGGCTTGTCGCGCAAGAAGTGTGATAGAGTGATGGTAGCCGTCGATGACAATTGTGGCAAGAGGATATATGCTTACTTGGCGATATGGAAGGGTGGGTGTGTTTGCATAGCTGAACGGCACACTGATCAATGCGCGAGCATTCCAGTATGGAGCGAACGCTACTCGGCCAGCGATGCTATACTTGAAGTACGTTCAAACATCACAACATCACCCACAAGCATGTCGATCAGTACAGCGGAGTAAAAGAGTTTGTGTGATCAAGCATCCAGTCTTCACATTGTGTCTAGCCTCAGCCGCCGTCGTGTCAGTGTCAGCCCACGACTTCGAAGTGGTATATGAGTCTTTGATGCGATACGATAATCTGCTGCAACATCAGCGTGATACATTCGAATTTTTTCCAAATCTTTCCGACCAAAAACACACATCTGCACACAATGTCCTCATCAGGGCATCCTGTCGCACCCAACACAGCACTGCGCGATGCAGACTATCACTACAGTCAGCAACTCACAAAGTTGCAAGACGAGATTATGGATCTAAACAAGATCATCGAGAACACTGCTGCAGATCACCGACGTGAGGCACTTCCGCTATATCCCTCATTCTTGCTAACATAAAATAGGCGAAGTCTCGGTACAAGCCCGCGCCATGACCTGTCTCAATATGAAGATACTGTGGCTCACATACCAACTCGATCCGATTCTCAAGGTGGATAGTATCACGGAGAGGATGGGCAGGCTTTTCCCAGAGATAGCGGAGTATTTCATTGTTGACTGAATGGTGTATTAGGAGAGATGTGTGTATGAGAGCACCAGCATATCAGGGTGACACCACTAGCAATGTGAGGAGACGTAGTTAAGCATCCATACCAATATTATCTTCCTAGCCTAGGGTCTTGCTTCAACAGTGCAAGACGCGCAAGTCTCCTCCGCTCTGGCGCACTGATGGGGACAGTTTTCTTCTCCTCCACATCGTTTGCTTGGTCCACTTTCTCCGATGCAGCTTCACCTTCTGTTCCTGCCCCCTTTAACTTCGTTTCCACTCTCCGCTGCACATCGCGCATGAACAGTCCTTGATCAATCCCTTCTTGATCCTGTGCCGTCAAATCTCGCACCTCTTTGTCAAGTCTCATCTTTGTTTCTCGTACGATTTCTGCTTTGCGTTCTTGAAGTGCAGACTCGCGTCTTTGTAGCGCTTCGCGTGTCAGTTGACAATTTGCAAGCTCGGCTTCTATGATGCGGAATTCGGCGTCTGGTGTGAGGGCTGCGGGAGTAGGTGTGTGTGTCTCGCTTGCTGGGCTCATAGGCGGAGACGGTGGCGGTTGTAGCCCATTCTGTTCCAACAATATAGGAGACGTAGATGTGATGACTACGAGAGGGCCGCTAGTGTTCTCTTCGGGTCGCAAGGCCATAGTTCGATGTCCTGGTAGAGTTTCTAGGATACCGAGTTTCGCTTTTTGTTCGGCGTCAGCCAGGGCTTGTGATACAACGGGATGAAGGAGGGTCGCTATGGGGAACGTCATGATTTCTACGTCTTGGGGATAGCGGCAGGCGTTGGAGGAGCGAGACGTGTCGACAAACTAAAGCAGCTTCCCGGTGTTTGCTGTAATCGTTGACGCTGGTCAACGCCAGGGTCTGCGAAATGGAAAGTACAGTGTCACAAGGGAATAGTGTGCAGCGTTTGATAGAGTTCATATTTTAGACATTGTTGCTGGAACGTGATGTCGCGCATCCATGTGAACCACTCGGCGAGAACACACAATACATCATCAAGCCTTCGACTCTTCTCGCATCCTCGTCAACGTGTCCAACACTGTTTGCTTCTCAGAGTCGGCCTTGAGCGACTTTATCAGAACATCCTGCTCGCTCTCGGGTGCCATGCCAGCCGTCTCCGGTACCCTTCTATCAAGATTGGTCGGGAAAGGGTATCCTTCAGCAACAACGCTGACAAGTGCTTTGAGCTCATCGCTTAGGCCATGCTGTTTATACATGGCCAACAATCCATCCCAGGTCTTCTCAACAAGTGCGTGCGTATCGATAGATTCCATCGGCTTACCAAAGGCTGATGAGATCTGAAGCAGATTGGCAGAACGCATGACATCTGCGGAGTCATTCTGACCTGCGGCATGGAACAGCGCTGGATTGAAGAAGAGACCGTCACCCATCTCCAGTGGCACAGAAACGTACTTCTCGAGGAAGTGGTTTTGGAACTCAGGCAAGCGGTATGCCATGTATCCTTCTTCAAACTTCTGGCTGAACGGCAGCAATCGCGTCGGCCCGCTCTCCACTGGCATATCTGAATGTGCGACAGCTCCTTGTAGCGTGAGGAACTGTGACGCGACTTGCATCGCCTTCGGGAACTTCGCACAAGACTCGTTATCCTGGAAGCCAATGTGGTAGTCTCTGTGCGAAATCTGGGCCTTCGCGCCTGGCTTCACAATGTTGACTTGTGCTGTGAGGTGGTGGTGTGGGCCGAGCCAGGCTTCAGATATCAGAGGTAGCCATGGGTTTGTGTAGTACTGCGCGAATGACTCTGGGTCTTTTTCGCAGTGTTTCGAAACGGAGTTCCAAATGCGATCGTTCGCGCCGGCTCCAGCAAAGTGGTCGCCGCGTTTGCCGGCCACTTTCTTCTCTTCTGCAATGATGTTTGCATACACGTTGTTTACTTTTTGAAGAAGAGAGACGTCTTTGCAGAGACCTTTGGTGACGAACACGCCTGGTCCGGAAAGCAGGATGTGGTAAAACTCATCCTGTAATGCTGAACGTTGTTCTGGAGAGAGCGAAGCATAGTCGGGTAGATCGTATATCGGCACATTCGCTTCGACCTTGCTTGCTAGTGGGTAGTGGCAGGGAACAGACTCCGTTGTAAGTTTCTTGAACTCGTCCAGTGATGGTGGTTGCTTGACGGAGAATAGCCGAGGTCCGATTGGTGGCTGGTGACCATTGGTGTGGCCGTTCGCGGAATGCATTTTAGATATCAGAATGTATCAGAGATGTCATGTATGGCATCGCCCTCATTTCAATGCTATATAATCGCGTCGGCTACATAGGTGATAGGTAAGCTTGTGGGATGATGTACCAGATCGGCAATTCTGCCCGCTTGCGGTGGTTGTTCCTTCTTTGGGAAGCGGAGAAGGCGGCGGCCCCACTTACGATTACAAACCCCTTGCGCATTCCATCCTCCCCTCCAGTACCACCTGTCGTTCGACACCAGTCACAATGATCTTTCGCGATTTACTTTCCACATGGGAATAAGAACAGTGGGTAGAAACATGAGCTATCGCGACCTGGTCGCAGGCACTGCTCTCGTGCTTTTCTTCTGACTCCTCGACTTTACCACGGCACAGCGGCACCTAAGTATCAGTAATCGTCACAGCCTTTGATCCTTCGCGGCGCGGCAAAGCCCACCCCCAGAGCTTAATGAGACCGCAACCATGGATTTCGACTTGAAGCACTGCGGAAGACCAAAGACTCGTGCACTATTTTCAAGCTCTGTCGCCAGTTCTAAGTTTTCAATTGTCATATGCATGGGGGCCGATTGCGCAGGTATGGCCGTACACAATTGCACTGGTAAAACTTTATGAAGAGTGTATGAGCTACCTAGGTATCATCAGGATCTCATATACGTTCAAGCCTCGGGTCAATATGTTACACCAATCTGCCCCTGCGAAGTACGTCAGACTGCGACGCGCAGACCTTTGCGAACAGCAATGCCGATGCCCGCAACCCTCTCTACTTCTCATCCTCTACTTCCTCAACCTCCCAATCTCCATACACAACTCCCGGTCGTCCATTTCGAACACCAGCGTATCTTGGCGACCCTCCACCAGGTCCAGCGTCGTGAGGCCGGTCGGAATCCGAAGTATTGTCCGGAGATTCAGCTCGCGGATGATTTCGAGGATCGGGTCCCGGCCCGCCCATGCCTCCTGGGAAAAACATTGGGCCACGTGGGAAAGGCATGCCGCCCGGTGGCATCGGCCCTCCTGCACCACCGCCAGCCATGCGCATCTGCTCTGCCATCATCTGTTGGCGATATGCGGCCATGATTACCTGTTCTTGTTGCGCCTCCATCATTTGCTCGCGCTGAGCTCCCATCATCATCGTCGCTCTCATGCGCAGCTGTTCCGCCATTTGCAGGCGTTGTCTTAGCGGCATGCCCTGCATTTGCGCTTCTTCCAACTGCGCTCTCATCTGCATTTCCAGCTGCATCTGTCGCATCATCATGACTATCCTGGGGTCCATGGTTGATGGCGGTGTTCAGCCTCCCGACGTGCTGAGATGTAGTCTAGAGAACGAGCAAGGTTTTTGGCAGTACCAAGGCTGTTTGTGGGCTTTGGGAGTTTCGGTCGTATCGAGCCGGGTATATATTGATTTGCAGAGGTACGTTAAAAGGATTTGTGCCTCTGGCTGAGGGAGATCGCTTTCGCCACAATCAATATTCATGATCAGTGAACGATTGAAGTGAAGACTTCGTCATTACACCGCACCCACCAAGAACACGATTAGAAACAATTTGTCAATGGTACCTGGGTCATCATGTCACGCACGTTTGCGGAGTATATTCACCGCGATATGAAGGTTCCGCAATCGTCACGATCCGAACTTTGGATTTGTCAGAACTCTACTTCACGCTATCTAGCCAACTACCAGTACGAGCTCAGTTGATAAAGCAATAGCATACATCAATTGTCGTCTCGCAGAACCGGCGCCAAAGCAGCTTCCTTCTCCCTCTGATCCATCGCCGCCATCATGCGCTTTAGAAGCTCTGTCGTTCTGTCTGCAGACTCACGTACAACTATCAATTGCGTCAATATCATCTCCCGCCTGTCGGGACCATGTAGCTTGTTGTTGATTTGCTCCATAGTCGCCACGCCCTCCTCATACAGCTGCATCCAAGTCCAATGCTCTACCCACATATGCTTGTTCTCCACCGAGACCTTGGTCCTGGCTTTACTTAGAGCAGCCTCCATATCTTCGAGTAGCTTGGCGCTACGCTGACAGACTGAAGGGAAGTTTTCGGGAGTCAACTTGCCGTTGAGGTATTCATCGGGGAAGGCGTCGATCTGCGTGGAGAGGGCTTCGCAGGCCTTGAAGTGGTCAGGGACCTGGAGCTCAATTTCTTTTAATTCGTTTTGGTGTGCCATTTTGTTCGTTGGTAAGTCTCAAGGCAGTTGGAATGCTTGGCAGTGCAGTGAAACTCTCGAGAAAGAGGTGTTGGTTGCGAAGGCACAGGCGACCAAGAGAGTGAAGTTCAGCTAAAATATTGGTGTTTTCCTGTAAGGTGAATGTATAATTGCGCCTCGAAGAACTCACGACTTAGACAATGCTGACATTGTCATTCAACAGACGATTCAGTGATTTAGTCCCCATGGGTTGCTGCTGCCTGCTTACTTGCGGATAGGTCTGTTGTATAATAATAGTGCCTCGAGTTAAGACTCTGACAGATCACCAAACCCACCCTCAACCGTTCATACGAACGAGCCATCAATCATGTCCCTTAAAGCAGCAGACGAAAGTGAGACATCTGTGCGGGTTCTAAAAAGCACTCTATTTGATGAGTGTAAGAAGATATATACAGGAGTCGAGCGCCTTCTCGAACGAACAAACATCGAGGGAATGACAGAACCACAACTGAAGTCTGCATATGAAGATGTCGTCAAGATACTCGACCAGTTTACCGACGCAATCCAGATTTGCGACGTCCACATCCATAAATTGAAGACGACAATCCTAATAGATCTAACAGAGCCCCGTTCAATCCTTTTCCTACAAGAGAAGTGGAACAAAGCTCTCATCGACAAATATCTAAAGTCATTACGACAACTTCACAGCCTCGAGCGCAAACTCCGATACGCCAAAGAGGGGAAGGAACTATTTGCCCTACCGGATTACGATACTACTGCATATATTCCAGCCCGTCCGGATCACGATATGGAATGCACCGGACGTACATTTGTGATCGCGCGCATGCTGTGGCTGATGAAAAAGGCCGAGAGGAACCTGGATACATTCCCTGCCCGAGGTTATCCACGCTACATACGCCAGGGGACTTGGCAAGACGATCCAGCTAAGCAGTGTCTGACTCTCCCACAAGACAAGAAGTGGATGCTAGCCTCATGTGAACATGAGCTCATATGTCTACCCTCATCTGAGGAATGGTCGGCCTTGTTCTTGCATATCGGCCATCTGACTATCCTCGAGTGGAAATCTCTGGGTGAAACTTCGGCTCATACTATCGAAAGCGGTATGGATATGGGGGATATGAAGTACGTCCAAGGCTTCACGGAACGCGCCACGGACGAAGCAGTAGAGACTGGTTTCGAAGAGTGTGAGATATGCGGACGCAGCTTCTCTGATCAGATTGAACGAGATGATGTGGAGCCAGCTGTGAAGATGATCTGTGGCCATTACATAGGCGAGCAATGCCTTCAGGCTTGGGTCAACACGCTCGCTGCCAACAATGAGGAGATGGATGCATCGTGTCCGATGTGCAGGACTAAACTATGTATTGGAGCATTTCCACCCAAGATTCGAGACCAGGTCTTTGAGTTTGTAGACTTTGTTCGTAATGATCCGGCATTCGATCGAGAGGTCGATCGGTTTCTGCTGAGCGCGACAGAGGGAGATGTGAGGCAGTGCTATGGCCCTGAGCTCGGAGTCATGCTTGCAAAGCTGTCTGTGAAGATTAACGAGGGGGAGAAGATGCTGAATAGCATCGTCGACAGCATCGACAAGTTACGAGGGTGAATGTACCAGGTGGGAGACGTTATCGTAGGCCGATAGGATACGAATTGGTTCTATCGCGAGGACTCGATCGTCTGAAAAGGTGTGATGCTCGGAAGATTGGTAGGTTTATTGAGTAATGAGATCTATGGTCGTGAGCATTTCCATGTACAGGGACAAGAATCGTCAGTTTAGAAAGTACTGAGATCGTACCTGCGTGGGAACCTGTTGCTCTCAGAATTCCGGACGGAGCGGTCTGCAATCATGCATCGACTCGTGGGTCAGCGAGGAGAAACAGGGCGTGCCACCTACTCTAATTGTCCAACGCCACCGCACCACTATACTGATCTACTTCCAGAAGTTGTGCGGCCGATCCTGTACGACAACGCAGCCTTGGCATCTAGCGGTATTGCAACTGACAAGGAAGCTGTCACCTGTCTACCAGGCATCCTTGCGAGAGGAGGAATTTCACGGCGGCTTGGACGTTCCGTTCCCGCTGACATGTGGTGTGTGCGAGTGTGTGAAGCTAAGCTTCCGCCTCACCACCAATCTCGTTCAGAACAGTCGGAAGTCCAGACCGTGGCCCGAACGCTACGATGACCAATATCGGCAGCCGACGGACCATTGCTATCGTGAAATCGGATTCGCATCGCGGGTAGTGGATCCCTACACAGCCCGGGTGGCATCCGCGGAGCGAATAGGAGAATTCCAATATCGGCGGTTTCTTTTGGTGCATATTCGCCAAGATGCCAGAGATTCAAAACGTGAAACGCATGATCACCCCAGATCTTGGCGACAGCGGTTTCCGCTGTCGTTGTGTTGGTGTTGTCGAGGCTTGGCACGGCTCTTCCACCGCTTAAATGAGTTTCAACGTGTGGTTGGGACTCCTGTTTTCATTTAAAGTGAGACTAGAACAAAAGAATCGTTCTATGCAACTGGGTACTATGGGCTTAGGATGGCTTATGACGCCTTGGGGGTGGGGTGGCGCCGTGTAGATTAGATGAAGAGAATGGGTGTTGATGAAATTTAGGGACCGAAAAATGGATATCCCTCCAATGGAGCGGAACGATGCGGTGAACGACGCTGGGAAACTGGTTTGTATAAGTATCGCAGTGGTTACCGTGTTGTAAAAATCATCGCAATCATCCAGCATTCGATACCAACCAGTACATTCGCTTCCAACTTTTTACATTCACTTCTTTTGAACATATTCATTCTTTACCATCAACATGAAGGCCTCAATCATCCTCTCTCTTCTTGCGCCCTTGACGGTCGATGCGCACTACATCTTCAACCGCCTCATGGTCAACAACCAGGCCATTGGTGGTGACTATGCTTACACCCGCAAGAACACCAACTCCTACATGCCCTCGTTCACCGCCGACATCGTCAACTCCCCCGACCTGAGGTGCAACAAGGGAGCCAAGGCTGGAGGTGTTCCCACCTACACCGTCAAGGCCGGTGACAAGATTGGCTTCAAGCTCGCTTTCAACGAGAAGATCGAGCACCCCGGCCCGGGCTTCGTCTACATCTCCAAGGCCCCTAGCAGCGTCGCCAACTACGATGGCAGCGGTGACTGGACCAAGGTCATGGAGAGCGGCCTCATCAACCCCAGCCAGCCCGGTGTCGACACTGCCTGGGACAGCTGGCAAAAGGACCGCCTTGAGTGGACCATCCAGAAGAGCATTCCTGCTGGCGAGTACCTTGTCCGCGTTGAGCACATCGCCATCCACGAGGGCCACGTTGGCAAGGCTCAGTTCTACATGGAGTGCTTCCAGCTGAAGATTGAGTCTTCCGGTACCGGCAAGCTCTCCCCCACGGTCAAGATCCCCGGTCTTTACAAGGCCAACGACGCCGGTATTGCCTTCAACAAGTGGTAAGTTCATCCCAACCGTACGGAATACTCATGCCACACATACTAACACCGTCCCAGGAACAACCCCAAGTCTTACCCCATGCCCGGCCCCAAGCTGTGGAACGGACAGTAAGCGACTCGTTTCGCTCACTGGTGTTCCATCAGGCAGTCAAGTTGAGGAGGAATCGGTCTCTTTTTACACATTGCACGCCCTAGTGGTGCTTACTTTCTACCTTTGCCCGCATTCATAGCGCTCGATCTCAGTAGCTTTTGACAAAATTACAATGCGTTTACCTCAGCTCGATGTTCCTTGATTCCTGTGATGATAACGATGGGGTGTGGGGCTTGGCATTTGGTCGACAGATTGTGCATCGTGATCAGCCAGCCTTGTATACTCAGCTGGTGACCCGAGCGCAGGCAAGGCGACAAGTCGCGCGCGCCTACTGCCGTTAGACCGCTGTTAGTAGGAGGGCTAGAGGTCTGTTCACATTAGCGTACAACAACAAGACAGCTGGGTAGAGTGTGCCCGATGGTGGGAACATCAGTTCGAGAGCGCCAGCGCAGTAGTTCTATAGCGGCCCAATGCATAACGAAGATGCAGCATCGCCAATTATGCGCAACTGGATGCGAAACAAAGGCGGTTATGCAGGGCGAGTGCGCAAGA